CGTAACATGAGATCTTGGGTTTTATATTTATGTAAGAGGCTTTAATAAATACTTATGAGATGGGTAATGTATTCATGGTGGTACAGTGGTCCTTTTCCTCTCCCTAATCATGGTAGATTGGTTCTCCCTTTTAGGGTATTTCTTCTCATGGTCCTCTTGAAAAGCCCATGAGGGAGGGTCAGAACTACAATGCAGATGATATAATAATTAAATAATTACAATAATTTGGAGGATGCACGCCCTTCCCTAGTGTGCACATGTAGCAACTGAGAAGCCTCCCTGGCACCTTAGCTTTGGGTATAGCAGGAGAAATTAACTGTAGCTTCAAGGATATTTAACCACAAAGGGGACTTTTGACTGCTATAAGAGAGAGCAATCAAAATACAATTACAGTCTCCTTCACATTGGTCTGCCTATTCTCAATTGCATCCTTTGCTCTTGTCAATGGACTCATCCATTGATGTATATTCACAGTTTGTATTATTGGTAGGTGATAGAAACTAAGATGTGGGAGCCAGGTGTGGTGTCACACACCTTTAATCGCAGCACTTGGGAGGCAGAGGCTGGTGGATCTCTGTAAGTTTGAGGCCAGCCTGGTCTACAGAGCAAGTTCCAGGACAGATGGGGCTACAGGGAGACCTTGTCTCAAAAAAAAAAAAACCAAAAAAAAAAAAAAAAGAAACTAAGACATGGGGTTTGATTGTTGAAGGAAGTCACTGAAGACATGCCCTTGAAAGCTCTCTCTCTCTCTCTCTCCCTCTCTCCCTCCCTCCCTCCCTCCCCAACCCCATGAAGTGAGCAGCTTTCTTCTGTGCCCTATTGCCATGTCATTACTGCCTTGTCACTGGCTGAAAAGCAACGGAGCCACATGACCACGGATTAAACACTGCTACCACGAGCTGAAACGAATCTTCTCTTCCCTTCCTTAAGTTGCTCATCTCGGATATTTCATCACTTCAGTGAAATGTGCCTAATACAGATTTGTTCCAATGCATCAGTTTGTGGGGGACATTTCAGATTCAAACCACAACACACCACCTCTGGCCCCCAGTGGTCTCAGGCCATCTCGTAATGAAAAATGCATATAATCCAACATCAAGAGTTGCCCATAGTTCCAACAATTCCAATAGTGTTCAAAAGTTCAACATCACTTCTGAGTCCAAAATACTTTTAGCTATGAACGTCTATAAAATAAAAAGTTATGGCCTGGAGAGATGGCTCAGAGGTTAAGAACACTGGCTGCTCTTGCAGAGTACCCGGGTTCGATTCCCAGCACCCACATGGTGACTGACAGCCATCTACAACTCCAGTCCCAGGGAATCCAATGCCTTCTGATTTTCTCGGGCATTGCACAAAACATACATGCAGGCAATACACATATAAAATAAAGATAATAAAATATTTTTAAAATAAAATAAAAAGTTATGTTCATCCAATATACAATGGCACAGAGTACACATTTCCATTCCAAAAGAAAAGAGGGGAGGATGATGAGGAAATACCGGGTAAAGTGATGCCAGAGACCATCCAGGCCAACAGTAAACACTGTAGCTCCATGCCCAGCATTGGGGCACAAGGTGGCATCGCGTGGGCTCTGATCTGCTTGGCCAGCCTCACCCCTGTTGGCTGCACACATGGCCTCTCTCTCCAGTTGGCTCCGGTTGATGCCTGTAGCTTTCCTTGGCAGATGTGCCATGTTCCTGGCATCTCCAACATCCTAGGGTGTCTGTTGTAACTTGGGCTTCACCTTCACTGCTTCTTAACTTTGTTATGGACCCTTGGTGCAAGCCTCCATGACCCCATCACTCTTGAGTTCTGTGTGCCGGTGAAACCAGCACCATGTGGATAATGCCAAATTCTGTTGCCGGCTCAACATGTAGGCAGGCTACAGTGGCCTCTTGGTTCATGTGCCTCTGAATCAGAGAAACATTTCCTTCATGGTTGTTTTCTAGCAGGACACTCTTCTGGCTATATATTCTCTCTCTCTCTCTCTCTCTCTCTCTCTCTCTCTCAGTTTTTTTGAGACAGGGTCTCCCTGTAGCCCCAGCTGTCCTGGAACTCACTATGTAGACCAGGCTGGCCTTAAACTCACAGAGATCCACCTGCCTCTGCCTCCCTAGTGCTGGGATTAAAGGCGTTCGCCACCACGCCTGGCTCATATTTTCTCTTTTTAAAGAAAATCTTAGCCAGGCTTGGAGGTGCATACCTTTGATCCAAGTATTTGGAAGGTAGAGGCAGGAGGATCTCTGTGAGTTTGAGGCCTGCCTGGTCTACACAGTGAGTTCCAGGCCAGCTGGAGCTACAGGGAAACCATGCCTCAAATAAACAATATGTCAAAGGAAATCCTTTTATACGCATTTTACATCCTGGTACCTCCAATGGAAGGGGTCTCTCCCTCAGGGCATATTTCCTATTGTATGAGATTTTTCTTTAGTGATGCTTTTTTTTTTTTTTTTTTGGACTTTTTGAGACAGGGTTTCCCTGTAGCCCCAGCTGGCCTGGAACTCACTATGTAGACCAGGCTGGCCTCGAACTCACTAAGTTCCACCTGCCTCTGCCTCCCAAGTGCTGGGGTTAAAGGTGTGTTGCCATGATACCCAGTGTAATACTAACATTTTAAAAAATAGCTTTTTTTTAATTTTATGTGCATGAGTGTTTTGCCTGTATGTATGTCAGTGCACCCATGTGTATGTATAATGCCCATGGAGGCCAGAAGACGTCAGATTCCCTGGAACTGGAGTTATGGATGATTGTTGGTCATTATAAGGTTGCTGGGAAACAAACCCAGGTCCTCTGCAAGAGTAGCCAGCGCTCTTAACCACTGAGCCGTCTCTCCAGCCCCAGTACTGATATTTTTAACAATCACAGCTGCTTTACCCACACCCACTTTGTCTGCAGCTGTAAATCCACTCCTGCTCCCAAATTACACAGTCCCACTTTTCTGCTTCACTGTTTTCTTTCCATGTATATAATGCCACATCCAGAATGCTGTGCTGACTTAAAATTTCCTCCCCCAAACAAATTACTCCATTACTTTTTAATTCAGCCTCACTCTGATTGTTGGGGCCTGTGCAGAATGTAGCAAGAGCCCTCGCCAGAATGTGACACAAATTGCCTCTCCTCCTATTCCCAGGAAAGGCCTACCTAGTTCCCGCCTGAGCAGTCTTTATTGTCCACATTTCTACTGGAGTTCTGTCTTCCAAATCTCTACTACATTGATCCTTTCAGCTCTGCCTCTGCCATAGAACATTCTATGCCTTCTTTAGCCTCCATCTCTAAATTCTGCCCAACAAACCAATTCCAAAGGCTCAAGGAGCACATTGTGAGATTTAGTTCCAACAACCTCCCCCTCTTCTTGGTACCAGTTTTCTGTGTCTGTTACTCTTCACATTGTTGTGATAAAATACCTGAGAGAAGTCACTTGAGGAAGGAATCGTTCTGGCTCACATCTTCAGAGACTATAGTCTATCATGATGCACCAGGCAGAATGGCTGGAGGGGCTCCATCCAAATCAGCAGGAGCATTGGTGGTTGGTCACATCAAGCAGGCAGGAAGCAGAACAGGACAGAAACAGCAGCATGTACAACCTTCAAGACCTGTCACTAGTGGCCTAATTCCACTAGCGAGGTCTCGTGTCCCAAACCTCACAGCCCACAATGTTCCAAAACAGCACTAGTAGCTGGGAACTAAGGGTTCAAACACTTGGCCCTGTAGGGGCCATTTCAGATTCAAGCCATAACATCATGGATTAGGCCAGCCTGTGGGAAGCACCAACTACATCCTAGAAATCCCACACTACCTCTGGTGTTTCTTCTGCACCCTATCTGCCACCAGGACCCCATATTGCATCTCAGGAAAAATCTAAGATAAGTGTTGGAGAAGCATAGGTTAACCTCAAAAGTATTTAGTCTCCTTGAATGGAGAGAGTGGGGGGGGAATTCTCTGGGTGGAAATACATCCCACTCAAGAAATTAAGTCAGGGCCTCAGGCTCTGTACATCCCTAGACCCACCCTCACTGGTGTTTAGAAGCAAGATGTAGGTGGCTTTGGACAAGGGATCAGCCCATAGGGACTGCAAGGAGCCAGAACCCGGATATGGGCCTTTTAATATTGTTCCTGGCAAAGATAGGAATCTGTCCACCAAGCCAGCAAACACAACAATGTCACCTCCCACTTCTATCTTCACTACCTTGTCCAAGGAACCAAGACTCCTGTCACAGTGCTCCCCACCTGTCTCCCTAAGGACATCATTCTTCCAAGACTGAATATTCCCATAGTCCCTTGGGTGCAGCCACCAGCTGTTCTCACACCCCTCTCAGAACACAGGCTGCAGACTCATCCTCTACCCTTCATAAGACTTTAGGGCTCCCCATTCTACTTGGTCTGATATCAGCATCCTCCTCCAGGAAGTTGGCATCATCTGCCTGGCAGGTGGCCCAGGGTGTGACCTGAGGGGCCAAGACACTCTAGTATATAGCCCCATGCACAAGCTGATCTTGCAGCTCCAGGGACCTGAAGTAGGTGAGAAGGTCTGGGGTCCCCTGTGAGGAGTGCTGGGGTCTCCTGTGAGAATGGATGGGGTCCCTTGTGAGAAGGGCTGGGGTCCTCTGTGAGGAGGGATGGGGTCCCTTGTGAGGAGGGCTGGGGTCTCCTATGGAGGCAGGAGAGCTAATCTACTCTCACACTTCACTCCAGACGTCCTCTCCTACCTCTACCCTCAGACCCTCTGAATACCCAATTCTCCACTCATTTTCCCGCATTCTGAACTCAACAGCTCACTCCCAGATATGGTGGATAGCCAACTTCCCCCACACACACACACACACACACACACACACACACACACACACATCTGGTCCCATCTACCCACCTTCTCTCCCAACCTAGGCCCTCCTTGCACCCCCGTGGCCCCTGTCCTGAAACTGCCCCCTTCTGTCATCTCCAAGTCGGTCTCCAGCAGGAAAGCCTTCTATGATCTCCTCTCCTTCCCCACTGCAGGAATGGGGTCCCTGTGGAGCTGGTGGACCCTCTGGACTGGAGCAGCCCTCCTGTGGGGTAAGTCATATCAAGCCCCCATCCATGTCCTTGTTCCTATCAGGGAAACTCTTCCTGCCTGAGTCAGCACCCTCAATGTGTGTCCCCTCCACAAACCACCTGGCAGTGTGCCCCAAAGTCTAGCTGAAATGGGACAGAGCCCCTTAAGTATTACAGAAAACTACAGTAGAAGCCATATTCCTCTCCTCTCCTCTCCCCTCCCCTCCCTCCCCCGTAAAAAAATCCTTAGTCATCTAATTCAAGTACACAATGACTTCTTCCTAGGTTTTAAAAAACTCAACTAAAGTTTGACTCTGTGACTCATTGTAAGTAATGGGAATTTTCACTTAAGTCATCTTGGAGGGCTTTGTCTCCAGTTCTTCCAGGTTTATGGATTAGGGTCTTAGGTAAAGTCAGAATACCAGGCTCAAGGCCCTGTGACTACAGATCAGCAAAAGTTCTAGGTAACTTTTTCTTTTTTTTTTTTTTTTTTTTTTTTTTTTTTGTCTTTTTGAGAAAGGGTCTCCCTGTAACCCCAGCTGGCCTGGAACTCACTATGTAGACCAGTCTGGCCTCGAACCCACAGAGACCCACTGGCCTCTGCCTCCCAAGTGCTAGGACTAAGGCATGTGACACCACACCCAGCATTCTAGGTAACTTTTGAAGTATTTGTTGTCCTTGATTCCCTGGCTCTGGGTTATGCTGGGATATCCTTCAAGCCGTCTTCATTTGGAGGCAGTCATCCCATAATCCCACACTCTGAAACTCCTTAGAGCTCTCTCACTCAGTTTCCCCCTTTCTCCTTCCTTTTCTCTCTCTCCTTAGTTGAAGCGTTGAAAGCCTAATCCCTTCGGTTTCTAGACTGTTCACACGTCCACAATCCTCATCTTCCCTTCATCCTCTCACACAAACCAACAACACCTATTTTTTAAAAACATTTTATTTATTATTTTTATTTTGTGTGTATGAGTGTATTGCCTGCATGTGTGTAAGTGCACCCGTGTCATGCAGTGCCCGAGGAGGTCAGAAAACGGTGTTGGATTCCCCTGGAACTGGTTACCAATGGTTGTTAGTTGCCATGTGAGTGCTGGGAATTGAACCTGCGTCCTCTGCAAGAGCAGCCAGTGCTCTTAACCACTGAGCCATCTCTCCAGACCCCAATAACATCTATTAAGACAGGAACTGCACTGGCTACTGAGTCCAGTCAGACTTCATGTTCCCACAGCACTTCAAACAATTTTGTGGGGAGACATGAGAGGAGTTGGTGGGAGATTGAGAGGGATGGGAGTAGTGCAAAGGCAATACTCATGTGTGAAATTCTAAGAGAGAAAGGAAGAAAGAAAGAAAGAAAGAAAGAAAGAAAGAAAGAAAGAAAGAAAG